AATCGAACCCAGGGCCTCATGCATGCAAGGCAAGCGCTCTACCACTGAGCCACCTTCCCAGCCCCAGAATTTTATTTTTAAGATGGAGTGATAGGCCTTTGTATGTACCGTTTTCTGTTAATTGACAGTTGTTTAGGTGGCTTTCACCTTTTTGTAGAAGGCTATGTTTAATGTTTTTAGGAACACAGATGTACAGATTCTTTTTGGCTATACCCAGAGATGGAACTGATGTATTTAGATTTGTTGGTGTCTTGGCTCAGATTTTTGCCATTTCTTGATCTTAGAGTAATAGAGCCAGGAAATCTGAGAAGCTACAGTTTTTATTAGAAAGCAGCAGGGTGGCCCTTTGAGATTACAGATTTAGCAAGGTTCACCACTTAGTTCTTCCAAGCAAATTTGGTATCTTAAAGTAGTTTTTAATTCTTCTAAAATTTAAAAAAAAAAGGAAATGGGTTTTTCTAGATGTAGATTTTTGTTTTTTTTCTTTTAGCCAGCAATTTTTGTGACCTGGTTTCCTTGTCTATTCTTTCCCTGAAATCTTGTTTGTGAAGGTCATTTTCTAAATTAAGAGACAGGGACTTCCTTAGAGAGCAGGTTATATTGTAGGCACTGGAGACAAACTCATAGCTTTCTTGGTAACAAAACTGCCTTAAAGAAGACCTGTTAGATTGTATCAGTTATGTGGGGACCTCAGGCGATGACAGGGTTTCCTTGGAGAGTCTTGAGGTCTTCTGGTGTACTGTGTATCCTTTCCTAATACTTTTTGTCTTTACTCTTCTGCAGTCTGAAAGGCACTTTATTATGCAGGTGGTCTGTGAAGCCACACAATGTCCAGATACAAGGGTATGTATGAGTTTGTATTAAAAGTTACCTCTTTTATATCTTGGCTAGGAAATACGAACTTCCGCGTATAGTTTAAAATATATGGCACTAGTGGATTAAAGAAACATTTGGCTAAGCCGGGCAACGGTAGCTGATGCCTATAATCCTAGCTTCTCAGGAGGCTGAGATCTGAGGATCATGGTTCAAAGCCAGCCCGGGCAGGAAAGTCCATGAAAGTCTTATCTCCAGTAAACCACTAGAAAATCAGAAGTGGCGCTGTAGCTCAAGTGGTAGAGCGCTCGCCTTGAGCTGAAGGGCTGAGGGACAGCGTTCAGGCCCCACAACTGACCAAAAAAAAAAAAAGAAACATTTGGCCAATATGGAAAAATTATTCTTTGATATACATAACTGAAGCACCTCTTCTCTTAAATTATTTAAGAGGATAGGGTTTTTAATCACATTTGCCATTTTAATGCCATAGTTTATACACATGACTGTTTTCTATTACTGTCATGGAAACAGCTGTATTATTGCTGTAGCCTATATTAGCCCTTGAAACCAGTGAAATTAGTATTTTTCAATCTTCATATCATTATTGAGCTTCAGCTTTATTATGGTGGGTTCACAAGCACCAATAAAGAAAAGTAGTGAATTAGAGGCAAGGTTCAAGTTGGAGAGTGCCAGCTGAGCAAACAAGTGTGAGACCCTGGGTTCAAACCACAGTACTGGCCAAAAAATAATAAGCTATTGCCGGGCGCCAGTAGCTCACACCTGCAATCCTAGCAACTCAGGAGGCTGAGATCTGAGTATCTAGATCTAAAGCCAGCCTTGGGCAGGAAACTCTGAAACTCATCTTCAAGTAACCACCAGAAAACTGGGAGTGGTGCTGTGGTTTAAGTGGTAGAGCACTGGCCTTGAGCTGAAGAGCTCAGAGACCGTGCCCAGGCCCAGACAAAATAAAAATAAAATAAGCTATTCAAGAGGCTTAAGATCTGATGATCAGGGTGTGAAGCTAGCCTGAGCAGACAAATCTGGGAGATTCTTACTCCTGTTAACCAGAAAGTAAACAGAACTAGGAGCATGGATCAAGAGCTCCAGCTGTGAGTGGAAAAAGCTTAGTATGAGTCCTGAGTTCAAGTCCCAGTATTGGCACAAACAAAAGGAATGAGCCTGTGCCCATGGCTCATGCCTGTAATCCTTGCTGGTCAGTAGACAGAACCAGAGGATAGTGGTTTGAGAGCCAGTACGAAAAGTCCATGAGTCTGTCTCATTAACCAATAGGAAGCCCTAATGGAGTCTCAGCTCAAGTGGTGGAATATCAGCTGAGTAGGTAGTTGAAACTTTGGTACTAGCAAAGAAACAGATGGAATGAGAAACTGTAGAAAATGAAAGTTGAAAGGAACAGTCGATTTTGGGGGGAAATGAAAACCTTTGCTGTATTAGCCCTTTGGAGATTTCCTTTGAAAGCTAAATTACATTGTTAGTTTGTAAATTGTTAAATTTGCTTTTCCTTAAAAGGTACGAGTGGCTGCTTTACAGAATCTGGTGAAGATAATGTCTTTGTATTATCAGTACATGGAAACCTATATGGGTCCTGCTCTTTTTGCAGTAAGTATTTTGAACTTGTACCTAATGACAGCGCATCATTCTTCATTGCTCATTTGCAAATCTGTGTGGTTTTTTAAAACTTAATGTTATAAAATGAAAACAATTTCTTGAATCTGGGAGTTTTAAAGTCACTAATGATGTGCTAAGACTTGTGCTATCTCTTTACTGTTAAGTTTTTTTAACACTTCTGCCTTTTATTTCAGATTTAGCTTTATAAATTGTATTTTGAAACTTTAATGTCTTTGGGAAGGTTCTGTAACTTGAGTTAGTACTTAAGTTCTGGTTGTCAATTTTCCCCCCTTAAGATCACAATTGAAGCAATGAAAAGTGACATTGATGAAGTGGCCCTACAAGGGATAGAATTCTGGTCCAATGTCTGCGATGAGGAAATGGATTTGGCCATTGAGGCTTCAGAGGTAAGCCTGGGCAGTGTTTTCATAGGGAGAGCTGTTTTACCTGGGCTCTGAAAAGGGCCTCCTTTCCTTCAGAAAAATCTTTACTCTGCCCGGGCTGGGACAATATCTCAGTTTGTAGAAATATTCATTTTTCTTGTATCCAAGATAGCTAATGAAGGAGAAAAGTCCCTAGAGAGGCAACTTATGCTTTTGCCAATATTAGACATGACTTACTGTCCATATTGATATTGCCACTATGAACACAAGGGGGCAATGTGTTGTAAGCTTACTGAGGTGACATTTGATACTGAATTATTTAGTTTTGGAGGGTTTTATGCAACCCAGTCTGTAGAACTGATCATTTCATAACTGGTGACAGTCACATATGAGGAAAAAAAGGAGTCATTCACTCAGAAAACTTGAAATTTAAATTTTATTTCTAACTTGGTACTTTTAAAATATTATATAAATTTTACATGTTTCATGATGCTAAATTAATTTATATAAATTTGAAGTTTGTAGCTGGATGCTAGTGGCTCATGCCTGTAATCCTAGCTTCTCAGGAGGCTGATATCTGAGGATTATGTTTGAGGCCAACCTGGACAAGATAGTCCATGAGTTTCTTATCTCCAATTAACAAACAAAAAGCTAGATTGGTGCTGTGGCTTAAGTTGGTAGAATGCTAGCCTTGAGCCAGGAAGCTCAGATAGCACCAAGGCCCTAATTGCAGACTAAAAAATAAACACCTTCAAAATCACTTTGACTATTGCTATTGGCCCTACATATATGGTACAGACACTGGGGAAATTCCCACACGTCTTTAGTATTATAGCTTGTTGGTTTTTGTCTAAAAATTCCCTTTGTTTCTCTTCAGGCAGCAGAACAAGGACGGCCCCCTGAGCACACCAGCAAATTTTATGCCAAGGGAGCACTACAGTACCTAGTTCCCATCCTCACACAGACCCTGACAAAACAGGTGAGCCTTCCAGATCTTACTAGGTAAGCTGCAGAAGCTTATTTAGGTGTTGGTTTGCTGTGCAACAGTTACCTTAGAGGAACTTGGCAGCCTCTCAACTATTTATCTGTTCTGGATGATTCAGGAATAGCTGTGCTGGGTCTGAAGATTTCCTAGGATTGTTTGGAGAAAAATTGATTTAAATGTATCATATATCTTGATTGGGAACAGACCACACGCACACACACTGCCCTAATTTCCTTAGTACTACATTGGTCACAGTATAACAGAGGGTGTGATTCAGTACAATGGCGATAAAGAACAATGAGCCAGGCGTCAGTGGCTCACACCTGTAATCCTAGCTACTCAGGAAGCTGAGATATGAGAATTGTGGTTCACAGCCAGCCTTTGTAGGAAGGTCCTTGGGGTTCTTCTTTCTAATAATAGAGTGCTACCAGCTGGTAACTGGTGGCTCGCACCTGTAATCCTAGCTACTCAGGAGGCTGAGATCTGAGGATCGCCACTCAAAGCCAGCCCAAGCAGGGAAGTCGGTGAGACTCTTGCCTCCAATTAACCACCAGAAAATCGGAAGTGGTGTTGTGGCTCATGTGATAAAGCTAAAGAGCTCAGGGACAGGCCCCAGGTGCAGAGATCATGCCCCACAAGTGACCCAAACAAAAAAGACTGCTACTTTATCTGTGATAACTTCATGAAAATACGGTAGATTGGTATTTTTTTAGTTCTATGAGGCTGGATGTAAATTAACTGCAATCCTTTTTTTTTTCTTGAACTCCAGGCCTTATGAACCTAGGCCCTGAGTCAAGCCTTAGGACTGACACTGAAAGGGGGGGGAAAAGTCAAAGAACATGTCATGAACTAGTGAATAAATAAAGAAGTTCTTTTGCAAGAATTTTGCTTTGGTTACTATTGTTCTAATTTTTCTTGGGGTGGTGTTTGAGAAGGTTTTTTCCCCCCATCACTTTGATTCTTTTTTTTTTCTTTATTTTGGGGTCCGGTTGTGGGGCCTGAACTCTGGGCCTGGGCGCTGTCCCTCAGCTCTTCAGCTCAAGGCTAGCACTCTACCACTGAGCCATAGCGCCACT